AATAAATAAAATCTGTAGAAGAGAAGGCTGAAACGAGGGATAATGTATGTCCTCAGGACATATTAAAATGAAGCACAGTGCATTGAGAGAGCAGACTTTAACATAAAACAAAATCAAAGGCAAAGTGGACGTGTATGTGTTCTTAAATACTTAAGAACACTTAAATAAGAATATTTAAATAAGGACAAAAGGAAGCATCTGCCTCCATCTTAGGTATTTAATGACCTTTACAAATCTTGTCTTTCACCTTGCAAACCTTTTTTGCACATTGTTGAGTTGTCCAAGTTAATTAATGAGGCAGATTCCTGGGAGGACAAACTTCCAAGACTGAGTCTTGCAGCAATAACACATCAATCACAGCTCCAATAGGAGAGGCAGATTCTCCTCCTGGTAAATGCACGTGTGAATCCCTGAAGGTTTCCACAGCACCAGGAATGACTCTTCTCAAAACCATCTGTTTCTGAGCCACAGACATGTTCTAGAGACATTGCACACAAATTGGGATCTGGCACTACATGAGGCCAGAACGCTTTATCTGAGTTTCTGGGCTGGAACACACACAGATCTGACTCCCTGCTCTGTGGCCACTTAATGCCAGCTGGACAGAGGATGCCAGAGCTCCATAGCGGTGCAAGTAGAGGGCTGAGCACGTCCAGAGTGGATTTTCTCTGTGAGCAGAGGGGATTGATGCTGAAAACTGCTGAGTATCTCAAAACCAGGTCTGAGCCTGGCCGAAGAGATTTGGTGACCCCAGGAACTGAGCCTAGTCAGCAGGCAAAGCCTGGGTCTGTGTGAGGGGCTGTGTTGAGCTCTTGAGGAAGGAGCTGGACCAGTGAGAATTTTATTTGGAGCAGAGCTTCTCAGTCAAGAAAAATCTCTTTCTGTACATGTAAACAAATAAATTGAGAAAATTGCTTCCAGGCTGTCATTGGTGCAATACTGGGAAGCACTGAAAAGGAGAGGCTGATCCTGGAGCAGCAGTAGCAGACACCAAGTGCAAATCTCAGGGAAAGAGTTATTAAGTAACTGGAGCATGTGTTGATAATTAGTTATCGCTTGTTATGTTTGCTCTGGGCTTTTCATTTCTGTTGACTGGCTATGAATTTTCTGCACTATCACTGCTTGTTTACAGTACAGCACCTAACAAAGGTGATTAATCAGAGTTAAGAGACCCTGCTAATGTCCCTCTGACATAAAAAGAGCCAGGTTAAGTCAGTTTGCCTCCAAATACTTCACAAGAGCTGAGAGGGGAAGGGAACAGAGGGAATCTTCTGTGTATCTGCAGTGCCTATGGGACAGTCAGAACTAGAAATTACTTACAAGTTGGCTTGTAAAATAAGTAATTTTAGAATGACCACCTTAAAACAAACAAACAAACATCTCCACAATGTTAGGGTCAAATTCTATGCAATACCAAATAACTTCATAAGCACTGAGTGCCCTTTCTGCACCTGTACATGGAATTTCTTCACACAAGACCATCCCTGGCTTGTCAGAATATCCCAAATGAACTCACGCTGTATGATATTGCCTCGGCCTTTGAGAATCACCCTGTTACTGTCAGCCCCAGGCATATCTATCCAGGAAAGCAATGTCAATATATTAGAGAATAAATGACACATCTATGAATTACAAACAGAATAATTCATAGGTAATTTTCAATTACAGAGAATAATTTATATGTGTCTGATTTGCAAAGAGAATTATTTATGAGTAACCTGAATTGCACATGAAGCACATTAACAGGTTACTGTGGGAAAGGGAGTGTACATACTGCTCAGGTGTCATGTGCTGAGCCTGGATTTTGGGGTGTTTCTTGTGAAAAAACTCACCATGAAAATAAAATCTGTCAGATTCCATAGTAAACAGATTTGTGTGATGAGCCCAATCTGGTTTGAAACCTCAGAATGGTGCTGAAATCCTCAGGGAGTGTGTTGGAGCTCCTGTCTTGTGGAGCACCATGAGCAGAAAGGCCACAACTGGGGTCATACAACATAATCCTTGGGAAAGGCTGTTGGCTGGAAAAGACAAGAGCCAAGTGCCAAAACCTTGGGTTCTTTGTGTCTCCTCTGCACTGTGTGGAGGTGATGATGGATTATATGAAATATGCTAATAACAGAGAAAAAGAGGAGGATCATCATGGACTGGATGAGATTCCCAGCACAGGCTCCTTCCCTGCTTCCCTGCCCCTGGATCCTGCACATATTCCATCCTGCACACAGGGACATTGATTGCTCCTTCGTATCACAGAATCACTGAGGTTGAAAGAGACCTCCAGGATCATCAGGTCCAACCTTCATGGATCTCATGTGGTCCAACACAGTTGCTCCAGTTTTAGGAAAAATTATGATGTTAGCAAATGGCTGTGAGATGGAACAACAAAATGTGTGTTGGGAACAGGATGTTTTCCTAATGGTAAAGTCAAAAATGGCACAGGAGTGGATGTGGGGAGTGTCTCTACTTGCAGCAGATCTCTAGATTACTATTTTGCTTAAAGCATTTTCTTAAGTGCAACTACAAATTACAAATTACTGGCCTTTTAAACAGATGGAGTTTACTTTCTCCTCCCCAGGACTTGCTGGTCAGGTCCCACAGCTTGTCATTTAACAAGGGGCCAAATCAGCTTCTTTAGAAGCTGAACATCTTCTGAAATACCTGAAGGGCAGAAGGATGCATTGGAGCTTCCACTTCTTCATACTCACCTTGTCATAAAAAACTGAGTTGGGAAAGAAACCACCCAAGCCAAAGTGCCATTCCCCCCTGAGGGACTGCCTCAGGGAGTTACATCAGGCACCCTCAGCATGAAAGCTAAAAATTATAGAGCCCTGTTGCTCTGTTCCAGTTAATGAAACACCATATCCAGATATTAGACCAAGACAAATATCTACTAGGGTTAATGTGGTAAAAGAGCTTCTTTTTCAACCACTAAAGTTGGTCCATAAAATTTTTCTGAAGCATTAATTTTCTCCAATAAAGTATTTTAGCAAAGCTTACTAAAGAGAAGTAATTGTCTTGGATTTGGAGAGTGTAATGGGTTGCTGCTGTTCTGTTGGAAGCAAAGCCAGACTCTCCAGGAGAATGAGGCACATGTCATTCCAGACTGAATTCCTGCAAATGCATCCCTGTGCCCAAGCTTTAGAACAACTAAGGCGTCGTCATGGGCACCCTTGGGCATGAGGGACATCACAAAACACCCATGGACACAGCTGGGAATGTCTGGAGCTGGGTGAATGTCCTCTTTTAGGAAGTCTAGGGGAACAATGTATATCCCATAGCTTTGGGCTCACACTATACTCCACGAGGGACCCTGGGGGGAACACTTAGTACAAGACTGTGCACTCATTGTATTTGCTGTCGCATACATCCACTCTTTGCTGCTTCCCATTTAGCTGAGAAAAATCCATTCATTTTCTAACCAGCTCCCCCTCCCCAGACCAACGCTCTAGTTGTTGCCCAAAACGTTAATGAAAGCAGCTCATGCTTTCAGAAACTTTGAAATTTACATCCTTTAACATGACTAGTCTCAACCTGGACCAAGTGCAAAGTCTCTTTGTTGACTTGCACTAGGTAGGCAGCAGCATCACATCCTCAGGGAGCTGAATATTGCTAAGAGTTCCCCAGTGAAAGTTCTGCAATCGTCAGGAAAAGGATGCTTGTATTTAAAGGTTGTGCAGAACAAGTGAAATCTTGTCCATTAGTAAAATGCCAATCTTCACCCTCATCCAAGGCAAAACTCCTGATGACCTGCTGGGGTCAGACTCTCACTTTGTGCTCCCAAATCTGGAAGCATGTCAGAAGTGTAGAGATTTGGGTCACCAAGTGCAGGGAAACCTCACACACACTCTTGCTGCTCTATGTAAAAAACCTGCTGGAGCAATTTGGACAATTTTAGGCAGTAAGAAGAACTAAGAAAGTGTCACAGATTTTTTTTTTCTAAACTTTCACTGGATTAGGGCCCTTGTACCATTTCAGATCCCCCCATGCCACCTGCTGTCAGCCTTTAATGTGAGTGAAATACAAAGCTTGCAAAAATGAAAGAAAGCTGCTTTTCCACTCCCTCTCCAAGCTACACACCCTTAGAGACAAAAAAAGATCACAATAAATGAGCCCTTTTAAGGACTACCACTACACACACAGCTCTTCCCAAGGGTTAGATGAGAAGGAATGCAGTGTTAATTTTAATGGGCTGCCACTTTCCTCTTACAGTGCAAACCACCTCTGCATAACTGAGGAGAGGCTTTGGCTCATGTTGGTACTACTTTTTTAAAATATTGAAATTTCTTAATTATATTGCTGTCCTCAGGGGCCACTGAATGCCACTTACCTGGCAGAACTAGGCTGCAGACCTACTTAAATTATAGGCTTAACCAGTTCCTCCTTAAAATATTTAATCTCTTTTTTCTTTTTTTTCCTGTGATTGAATGCTGCTGCTAGACCAGTGATGGTCATCAGCTGATGCATTTAGTGTCCACACAGAAAACTTTTCTGGCTCCTTTTAAGTTACTATGAAATTGCCTAGAAGAAGGTAACACTTATTCCTAGAAACCCTGGACTTTTGTGCATATATCCCCTGAATTTCTCATTCTGCTGTGACGAGGTGGAGCACTTACCTGTGGTAGACAAAAAGCCCAAAGCACTGCTCCAAAATGCTCCAGTTCTGCTTGGCATGGTCTCCTTACAAGAAGGAAAAATCCAGACATGGATTTTTCATGTCACAGGGGTTGTGTTTTGTTTCCTCTTCTGATTCCCTCTCCCCAAGGTGCTCACTGGCACTTCCCCAAGCGCATAAACTGCAAAGGGGAATAGGAATAGGAATAAGAATTCTGCGAGCTTGGGGAATGCTGGCCTTAGAAAGGACCCTGGAGAGGATATTTCCAGGATACTCCAAATTTGTTTCTTTGTGCTGCAGGCTTTCATTTGTTCTTTATTTACCACTTGACATCATCCCCAGCGTTGCTGATGCTAACACAGTGTGACATGAAGCTGTTCATGAAGGGACATGATGGCAATGGGCCCGAGCGTGTCCTGCTAGGGGTGCACCACCAGCCTCGCACAGCAAGTCCCTCCTTGGCTGGGCAAACCTCCCCAAATCCTGCAGCCTGACAACAGCACTGGGAGCCAGCAGATGCCCTGGGATAATAGCTAGGAATAAAAGGTGTTAGAGGGAATTGTCACCAGAGAACAGCTGCTTTCACTGGTGTCAGATAAGGCAGAAGTTTAGGCTTCTGATTGACAGATAAAGACCAATATCAGCCTTTTTGTTCCTGACATGGACCTGTTCCAAAGAGTGTGGTTTGTCCCAAGCAAATAGGAGCACCATCTTTCCACACCCTACAAGGTCCAGTGCAAACCAGCTGCACAACACTCAGAGGTATTTCCCATCTTATTGGGACTTCAGGATAGAGCTCCAAAAACCCCCATACCAGTCAAGCCATCTGGTTTACTCTGGATGCCCGGCAGCATTTTGGGGCTGTGCATTCTTCAGCACCATTTCCTGGCACAGGGTCCCTGAGCCAGTGACACCCACGGGGACATGGAGAACCTGTAATAGCCTCTCCCACATGAAGTGTAGGGCCTGGAGTGCAGCGTGCAGTGTTTACAGAATCCCACCACCCCCTGCAGCCGGGATATTGGCGCTCACTGCTGTGAGGCCCGAGCGTGAGGAGGTATCCTGTCCCTTGTGAGGCCAGGCGCTGATGGCCATGTCCCTCAAGTGTGAGGAGCTTTCCTGTCCCTGGCGAGGCCGGGCACTGATGGCCATGTCCCTCAAGTGTGAGGAGCTTTCCTGTCCCTATCGAGGCTGGGCACTGATGGCCATGTCTCCCAAGCATGAGGAACTTTCCTGTCCCTGTCGAGGCCGGGCACTGATGGCCGTGTCCCCCAAGCCTGAGGAGCTTTCCCATCCCTGGTGAGGCCGGGCACTGATGGCCGTGTCCTCCAAGTGTGAGGAGGTTTCCTGTCCCTGCCAAGGCCGAGCACTGATGGCCATGTCCTCCAAGTGTGAGGAGCTTTCCTGTCCCTGCCAAGGCCGGGCACTGATGGCCATGTCCTCCAAGTGTGAGGAGGTTTCCTGTCCCTGCCAAGGCCGGGCACTGATGGCCGTGTCCCCCTCAGGCCGTGCCGCCGCCGAGCCCCGCGATGCTGCAGTGCAAACACGCGCAGGAGTTCAGCTTCGGGCCCCGCGCTCTGAAGGACGCGCTCATCTCCACCGACCCCGCGCTGCAGGAGCTCTACGCCAAGGCCTTCTCCAGGGCGGAGAAGCTGTTCCTGTCCGAGGCCTACAACCCCCAGCGCACGCTGTTCTGCACGCTGCTCATCCGCACGGCCTTCGACTGGCTGCTCAGCCACCCCGATGCCCCCGAGGACTTCGAGACCTTCTACCACGCCATGCTGAGGAGGAAGCAGAACTTCTGTCGAAAGCACATTTACCTGCAGCCTATAGGTAATGGGGGGATCTTCACTGGGCTGCCTGGAGAGACACAGGAGGGAGGTGGGTGGTGTTGAGTGCTGCTAACACCCTCCTCTAAGGACTTACCTGCAAATGCAATGGCCATAGCAAAGACAAGTGTAACAGGCAAGGCTCTGAATGCCCCCAGTCCAGAGTCACAAGCCGTGGTGGTAGACCTGCCATATAAATGGTATGTGTGCCCCTGGGTGAGGCTTGCTATGAATTTATGCATATATGTATATCAAAGTATGAAACCATGCTGGAAAAACCAGCATTTCTGGAGGTCTGTCTCTGATGGTTCATTAAACAGCCACCCGTTCCCACGTTAATCATTCTGCACAACTTAAACAGGAGACAACCTTCCAGCACATCTGCTCTGCTAATGAGAGCGTACTAATGCCTTGAGCAACCTCTCAGAAAGAGCTCCCTCTTCTCCTCTACATCCATAACCATCCAGAAGTGCTCACCACATCCCAGAGTAAGCAATGAACTCCAGAACGAACCAGCCCACCCAGTTGCTGTGGCCAGTGCCACAAAACCCTGTCAGACCCTGGTGTTCACCCTGGCTGTAAGGGACTGACAGAGAACTTCTCTCCTCAGATTTAATTGAAGGCCCTGCTGGGCTCTCACTGCTGGATTCCCTCCAGAGCTGTGTGGAGTCTTTCTTCCTGGGCCTGCGTGTGAAGTGCCTTCCCTCCATCCCAGTCTCTTCCATCCACTGCTGCTTCCGCCACAGCCGGGACTCGGACAGGGTGCAGCTCCATGCAGGTGAGGGAGGACCTGGCAGCAGGGAACCCACCAGGACACCAGCCTGGCACACGGGCACGAGTTCTGCCTTCGGAAATGCCTGACACAGCCCTTCATTGCCTGAGCTGGGAGGGGATGAGGAAGGGAGTGAAAAGGCAGAAATCCTGTTCCCATGGAAAGCCCAGAGCTTTGAGGCTGGAAACAGGAATAAAAAACAAAGTGACTTTCATCATATTTTCCTCTGCTGTTTGTATTTTTCAGTGCTATTATGTTTAGGTCTAGCTCTGGATCGGATCAGCTCTGTGGGAAGGCTCTGTTGATTCGGTGCAGTCTGAGTTCTCCCATCCCCTGTCCAGAGCCAAAGTAAATTATTGGCCTGGGTGGTGCAGGGGGGGAACTCACAGACCTTTCATGATAGGAAATTTGGGTTCAAGTGTCACACAGCTCCCCAGGGGACTGGGTTTGCCAGCTGCCAAATTTGCACTGCACAAACATCTACCTGGAATGAGATGTTTGCAGGTACCATAGGCAGCACATGCTCAGCACAGACCCAGCACTGCAGCCCTGGGGCTGTTCCAGCTCAGTTCTGAACTGCCTGTAGGAAAATTCTCCTCCCAGGTGCTCATTTCCATGGGTTAGTACTGAATTCATCAGCATCTCTGCTTTGTTTTGACTCTGTACCCAGCACCACTTCCAAAGTCAAGTCTTCTCTGATTTGAGAGATGGGCTACACAGCCATGGTTCTCCACCTGAGATGATGAATCCAGCAGCTCTGCCTGCCTGTGGGCTTGGATTACATCCTCCTCTCCAACAGCAGCAGAAATTCTGGCTCTGTGTCTTCCAGGGATTCTTAATTTAAATGAACATCTCTCTTGTATTTGACCAGATGGGATCCTGAATTTCCTGAAGAATAACAAGCCCATGGATGCTCTGTGTGTCCTTGGACTTACCCTGCTGGACCTTTACCCATGTGAAACCTGGAGCTTCACATTCAGCAAATTCCTGCCAGGACAAGGTGGGTTGGTGTTCCATGGTGATCTAGAACAGTGTGTGAATAAGGCAGTACTGCACCAAAAAGCCCTTCCCTGTCAGACTAGAATAGCCAAATCTTATCCTTAACATGCTATTCCCTGGTAAGAGCAACTTTCCCTCAGTGTGAAATTAGGAGGATCAGGGCTCCTGATCCAGACAGAGGTAACTGAGGTGATACCAATCTTTTGGTGAGTGGGTCTCATCACACCCTGTGTGCCCAGCTGGACTCTGCTCCCACAGCTGTATTTTCATGCTGCCTAAGGTGAGAGACAGTTGTAAAAGAACAGATGCCTGACTTTACTCCCTTCTCTTCACAGAAGTGGGAGTCTGCAGCTTTGCCAGGTTTTCTGGGGATTTCCCCCAGGCTGGTTGTAGCAGCTTGAACCTACCCACGCAGAAGGAAGAGCTCTGTGAAGTCAGCAAGGAGGGCAGAGACCGGACCTTGCAGTTCAGTGCCCAGGAGATGGTCCAGTGCTGTAAGGTAGGACCAGCAACCTCCTGCACCCCGTGTTTCTTCCTGGGTAGGGTTAAATATTTCAGACCAGAGTATAAAACAGGCCTCATCCCAGGGAAGCAGCCATGAGACTGCTCCCAGAAGCACAGGCAGTCACAGCTAAGTCCACACTGAATTCAGACATAAAGAGCTTGCATTATAGTGCACTGCATGGACAACTCCTACTCCCCTCACTACTGGAGCAAATGACATCATCAGGTATGGGGAGGCTACAGGACTTGCCTCAGAATCACAGAATGCTTTGGGTTGGCAGGGACCTTAAAGATCAGCTTGTCCCAAACCCCTATCACGGTCAGGGACACCTTCCACTAAACCAGGCTGTGTCTTGGAGCAGGACTGAAACAGCCTTGCCCAGCTCCCAGGCTTGTGCTTGGGTAATCCTGAGTATTTTTCTTGTCAGGCACAGCAGGGCTGATAGAGTATTTGGAGGATAATCAGAATATCTAGTGTGTAACTAATGGATGGCTGCAAAGGGTGACTCTGTCCTCCTCAGACACTGGCATCTGTAAGGGGAGGGGTCCCTGTGGCATCCCTGTTACATGGATGGAGGAGAAGAATACTTCAGCCAAGTCATCTATATAAAAGCAATGCCCTTCAACCCCCCTCACCTCCAAGATATCCTCTTCGTGAGTGCTGTCCTCCCTCATCCCAACATCTGCCATATTCCAGCTCTGCTTCCAGTGTTCCTCCCAAAGCTGGCCCACACAGAGCAGTCACACCAGCACCTTTGAAGCCACTTCCCTTTGCTCAGGATTTTCTAGTTTGAGGCCTCTTCCTGTAATAATTTCAAATGATATTAAGTGGCAATGGGAGGAGGAGAGGAGTCCTCCATCCTCAGCCTTTCCACAGTTGCCAATTCCCAAGGCAGTCATGCTTGGCCAGCTGACTCCAGCTCAGTTTTCTGCTTTGGCACAAATGTTAATGGAGTCTGTTCTGGAAAGACTCAGATCTGTTATTGCCAACAGCTTCTTGCACATTTCTCACACAGGCTGTGTTGCTCTTTTCAGGCCACAGTGGGACTGGTTTTCCTCTTTAAAAAACCTCTCAAACAACAAAAACCACCACACTGTCCTTGGGGAAGAGCAGCAGCAGCACTGCCCCACAGCTCCAAACACTCTGCCTACAAGGCTCCCCACATCTGCCTCACCCACATCCACCCCTCATTCTTCACAACACAAACATGGATCTGGGAAGAGGCAGCCAGGTTCTCCTATCACCTTGGACAAGCCTGGGCTGGAGAAGTGCCATTGCTGGGCAAGAGCTTGGTCAGACTGCCCGGGAGCAGGGAAAGGTGCAACAGCAGAGGAGGAAGAGGAGGGGGCAGCAGAAACAGAAATGACCATGCACTGCTGTGATCTTTGCTTCCCTGAAAGGTGACCTGCCACGAGATCTGCCACCTGATGGGGCTGGGGACGTGCCGCTGGCTGCAGTGCATCATGCAGGGCGCCCTGAGCCTGGACGAGGCGCTGCTGCGGCCCCTGGAGCCGTGCCCCATCTGCCTGCGCAAGCTGCAGCACGTCGTGGGCTTCAAACTCATCGAGCGCTACAGGGTGAGCCCCGACCCCCCCGAGCCTCCTGGAGCAGGGACAGGGCAGGGACAGGGACAGGGTGGCTCAGCCCAAACCCCAGCACTGAAGGTGCTGCAGCAGCGAGGGGAGGGCAGGAGATCTCAGGAGCTCTCAGTGCGAGGTGCTGAGGCAGCAGCTCACACCTGAACATGGGGGTGTTCTACACAGGCTCTGACCAACAGAGCACTTTGCACAGTTCCAGGGATTTTGGCTTGTCCCACAGTCCAACCACACTTTCCTACTCCCAAAAACGAGGTGGGAAGGGCAGGCAGATTGCAAACAGGAGCAGCAGTGAATGCAGAGATTCCCAGCTACGCCCTTTCCTGTGCCACCCTGGATTTTTACTTCTCTGGAGCTGCTGGGAACAGGGAGGAAACATTATGTATGTACTTTGCTGCAATTCCTCTGTTTAAATTTATGAGAAAGGATCCCAAATTATTACCCCCAGTATGTGGAGGGTCCCAGATTGATCTTTTGTCTCTTCTCTCTCACCCATATCACAGCTAACACCACATTTAGACAGGATCAGGAACAGTGCTAACACACCCTTAGCTCTTAAAAGGGTTTTCTACCTCTGCTGTCTAAAAAGCAGGGTTCAGTAGCCAAATGGTTGGTGGAATAGAAATAATGTCCCCATTCTCACTCAGCACCCATCTTCTCCCTGGTTGTGATTCCTGTCTGACACACATCATGTTCAGAGGCAGGATTTTCTATGGCTGCCTACTTTAAAGTCTGTAGGTTGTATTTGTAACAAGATACAAGCAGAATGAGAAAGGAGATGCCTCTGGTTTCATTCAGCACGGAATCAGATACACAGAAGCATGGCAAAGACTGTGGGGAAACACACACTTTTTTGTGGTTTTCCTAATTATCTGTGCTGCTGCCAGATCCTTCTCTGACTCTGTGGCTGTTTGGTCCCTACTCCTGTCTGAGAAGTGTCTAAATTGCCCAGACTACCAGAAGTTTCTGCTTAAATAAAGCAGATAAATTCTGCTTTATTTAAACACCCAGCCTGTCAGCATCCAGCCAGTGCTTTCTTGAACAGAACGGCCACCTGCATTAATCTTTTCTGGAAATATTTTTGCCTTTTCACCTGCAGCAAATACTGTAATTGGCTCACCATCCTCTGGTGACAGGGAACACAAACCTTAAGGAATGATGCACTTGCCAAATGTCACATCTGCTTCCTTGAGAAGGCAAAACTCAACTAGATACAGTATAAACTGGTGTAAGAGAATGTGATAATCCCTGTTAGAGGCTTTGCCATAGTGTTGAGAGGAGACATAAATGCCAGAGATGAATTAAATAGTTAAGGAACAGGACAGAAGAGGGCAGAAAGCATTTTGAGACAATAACAGAGAGCAAAGTTAACTTGCCAAGCATATTAAGTGCAAATCTGAAGTCACATTTCCTCTTGGAAACAATCACAGATCCCACCTGCCACAAAACAGCTTCAGACACTCCTAATCACCACGGGAAATGCCAGAACCAAGCTGTGCCTCAGCAGCAGCAGGTAACACTGCTCAGATCTGCAACTGAGACACGGTTTGGGGCAGAGGAGCACACAGGGCAGGAAACCAGTCCTTATGCAGCAGAAAGAGCCCCTCAACTTATTTATCTGAGTTGTACTCAGAACCACACTCTATTTTTTTATTCCAGCTGCTTATTCCAGCATGAGTCATGAAAACTGAAAGCAAGTTAATTGTCCTGGTGTTTCCCCACCACAATCAGCATTTCCACATTTCCACCTGTTGCTTGTGCAGCATCCCAGGCTGTCCCCACATGGTGGCTGGATGAGTTTGCAGTGGCCACACACACACAGACAGCAGGTCTTAGTGACATCCTCGGGGTGGACATCCACTTCAGCTGCTCTTGCCTGCAGGTAAACAAAACCCACACAGAGCTCATCCCTTCCTGGTCAAACAGGAGAACATAAGAGGCTGCAGCCCTTCAAACCCACCCAAAGTTCAAATGAAAAAGCCACCCAAAGGATGAGAGAGATTGAAGAGCTTCTGGGAATTCAGGCAGTGAGTGATCCTGAGTCAATTATCCCCTTTTTTTGCCTTGAATAACCCAAATGTGCTGCTGGGAAATCCACATCTCCACAGCTTTTTTTATTCCTGGGAATTGGGCTAAGTAGTAATTGGGATTCCTTCTCAGATTCACTATTCTTGGGAATTTAGAGCCATTACAAAATCATGGGCTGCTTGCAGCTTTCCAGTAGCTTTGCTGTCCCTTTCACTAGCCCAGCTCCCATTGCAGTTTCTGGCACTGCCTTTGTTGGATAAACCCAGAGGGAGGGAAGGGCCACTGGAGGTGGGATCAGGCAGGAGAAAAGTTGTCCCTTTACAATTTTTCTTGCCCCAGAGGGAGGGGGTAGGGTGGATTAGCTAAGCTGAAAGAGTCCATTTTATTCCTGTACAGAATTCTTCCCTGAGGCTCCATGCTCAGACTGAAATGAGAAGCAGGGCTGATTTCTCCCACCCACTCAATTTGAGCTCTTTATCCTTTCTGTCACTTGCCTGAAGAGACAGCAATAGAGGAGGAAAGGAGGAGGGAGCAGTGGGGGGCTGTGAGAGAAGGGAGCTCCAGAGGGCTGGGAATCTCCTGCCTGCTCCTCAAACACTGCAGCTCCCCCTGAGCTGAGCAGGGACAGATCCAGCTCCGTGCCTGGCACACCGTGGGGACAGCCCAGGCTAATCCTGTCCCTGCTGAGCAACTGGGGGCTTTGCAAATGGATCACTGGGAGCTACAGAAAGTAAAGGGGAAGAAATAGGCCACAGGAATGTGAAAAACTGAAAAACACACAAAAACCCCTCAACACTGGAAAGGCAGACGAGATCACCTTTTACCCAGGGATGACTGGAGCATTGTGGTTCATTCCCTAAAGTATAAGGAACAAATGTGCCAGGAGCAACCTGTTATATGCCTCATTGTGGCATTTAATATTTAAAAGGAAATTGTCTCAGACATTTTCCTTTCATGAATTCTTTCCTAGATCCAGCCTTCTCACTTGTTCATTTCAGCTCAGGAGGGGAAGAGCTGTTCTTGGGAATAAAACACACATTACCACAGCCATTAACAACATGATGAAACACAATTCTTCACCACTATCTGAGGAGTTTTATAATGACACAGTTTCCCCTGGAGAACATTGGCTTGCCTCTCCTGGAGATCACATTCACACAGCAGCGAGTGATCTGGTACAGCTTTCTCCTACCACCTTCAATAACAGGGCAGATATAAGTCCACATCTGACTGGAGGCAGCTCTGCCACAGTTCAAGAAAATGGGACAAGAGAAAGCTCCTGCTTTGTAGGGTCAGCAGGAATTGTCTGATCTCATTGTCTGGCAGAGAGGACTGTGGCAGCTGCAGCTGAGCCACCCAAGATAAATAGGTTTACCTGGCAAACACGGGGGAAGGTGTAACGGGCATCTCTCATCCTCCACAACAAAACCTTTCTCCTCTCACCACAGAAGCTCTATGCTTGGACACAGACCGTGCTGTCCACGTGGCCAAGGCAGGAGCCAGCAGAGCTGTCTGCCTCAGAGGACATCCTCCCGTTCAGCTCCGACTCCGGGATGTGCTGCGAGAACGACTCCGAGGCCGTGACCTCCCTGTCCGAGCCGCTGACCCCCGACACCTGCAGCCAGGGCCTGTCCATGGGGCCCGAGCTGGAGCAGGACGAGCAGCCGAGCTCCCTGCAGGAGGGGCAGGGCCAGCCCCGGCTCCCTGGGCACAGCAAGGCCACGGACACCATCAAGGATTACGAGCTGTGGCTGGAGATGTGCATTGCTGCCCTGGAGAGGAACGTCTCTGAGGAGGAACTGGCTCAAGTGGACAAGACCGTGGACGCCCTGGCTAAGTGGGAAATGTTTACAGGCCAGCTGCCTGCTATGAGGAAGGACCTGCCCTTTGCTAGGGACAGCACTGGGCTACGCAAAGTTCTTGGAGACAAATTTTCCTCCTTGAGGAGGAAGCTGAGTTCCAGAAAACTGTCCAAAGGGGAATCGTCCCCTCATCGCTGGCGGTGGGAGGACAATTAGGCTGGGGCTGCCTTGGGCCAGCTTTGCTCACATCACTGGCTTCAAGCCTTCCTCACCCCAAGCTGTTGCTGTCTCAGAGAAACAGCAACTCCCCCCAGGAATAAAAGGTGTTTTGTTTACTGAGATTGCTAACACAGTTTTGATGTGATTAGTTCTTCTCTAAGGGTTTTTCCTTAAATGACACCACCGGTCCACACCCACCTCAAGTCCCATGTTGGTACTCTTATTTTCTTGGTCTGAAGTTGGCCAGGAAGGTCAGCCAGGTCCCCACTAAAGACTGAACATGCTCACACAGGAGCTTGGGCCATCTGAACAAACAGATGCAAATTAAACCAGGGCAGCCCCCCCACACAGAGAGCTCGTCGCTGCTTAGCTCATCAGTCCCAGGCATAGATGAGATTTCTCCCTCTCCTCTCCCCCTCACAAACACTCAGAGTGCTCCACTTGCTGTCCCACCAGCTGGAGGCTGTGCTGAGCACAGGAGCACAATCCAGGCTGATGGACTCTCATTATGAGCTGGGGGAGATGGAGGAGGTGGGCACAGAGTAAAGCAGAAAAATCCCTGGCAGCTCTGCCCCAAAGAGCAGCGTTAGCCTGGTGATTGTCTCTTGGCAGACTCTCAAGAGGATCTCCTGAGACGCCTCAGTTCAAACAAAGCCAGGCTTGGAGCACGAGCTGGAACTATCCACATCCTCTGTAGACTGGCATAAGAGAGGAAACCTTTGGATACATTCACAGAATCACTGATTATCAATGTAAAAGGGGGAACCACACGTGTGTTCCTCTTTCTGCCTTGGGAAGTTACCACCCTGGCCCTCCCCTCTTCCCAGTGAGCAGGACTGGGTGCTGTGCTGGCACCCGGAGAGCAGAGCCTCCCTTCCCATGGCCAGGGCATGCTGTTCCTCCCTGCTCCTCCCGGCTATTTATAGCCAGAGCTCAAGAGGCCGATGGGTTTCTTTGCTCCTGCCAGGGAAGGGCTGACCCCGTCTCCAGCCCTGAGCACTGATAACGCTTCCCCAGCTCACGACAACCTGGCTGAGCTCCAAATTTCTCCGGTCTAAAAATACCAGCAGGTAGGATCCGATTCAGTGCAGCTGGGAGAAAGGAGAGGGTGTTCCCTCCGAGGAGGGAGCAGCTTTGGCTTTCCGGAGCACTTGCCCTGTGCACTTTGAGGCCCTCACTCCATCAGCGCGGTTCTGCAGCAGGAAGCGGGAGGACACCTGGCAGACACTGGAAGAACGCCGGAGATTTACACACGCAGGTGAGTGGCAAAGATGGTCTTGCAGTAAATTCAGCTGGATTCCGGAAACACAAGCGTTTCACATCCGCATGATTCATGCCGGGAGAGAAAGGGAGTTTGGCTTCGGGGCTGATGACGGCAATTCCTGGAAACATTTTCCAGGCTGCGCGCCTGGAGCGGGGCAGCAGAGCCGCTGCTGCCGCCCTCTCCTGGCAGCCACAAAGGTGACGGCTTCTCATCCAAGACATTCTTCCCAGCAGCAGAAACTTTCCAAACAAACCCTGCTTGAATTACAAATCCCAGTTCTGCCTCCGAACTCGCTCAGTTGTTGCCTGAACACATTTACTATTTTAAGCAAGAGATTACTCTCTGTTCAGCCTTGTTTGCTCTTCCTTGATTCTGTACTGAGTTATTAGGCTGAACTTTAGAGACTTTCCAGAAAGAGGCTCAGGATGACAATCCTGCCTAAGGGAACAGAGGCAGCTTCCCATCACAAAATTCCAGAGACAGCAGAGGAGCGGGGTGGCACAGAAGGGCTGGCAGAAGTCACAGATGGAGACTCCTTGTGACACCTGGCACATGTGAGTGCTGCTGTGAGAGCAGGAATTTCTGCTGAGAGCTCTTGTGACTGCAAACGGGTATTTTTGACACCATCACTGCCAGCACCACCACTTACCTGCTCAGCTGGTCCACAAGTGCTCCAACTAAGACATAAATGAGATGGCAACTCAGAGTTTTTACCTGGGCAGCTCAGCAGTGCCCACAGGCAAGAGGCAGCTTCGTGGTGAGTGGCAGAAAGTGGCTGAAAACATTTGGAAGTTCTGCAGCAGCTGGAGGAGAGGGTCCCTGCAATATTCCACTGCAGGGTTTGGTCATGTTAAGACATTACTCCTCTTCACAGCAGCAAAGGTTTCCAGTGCTGAGCACGGGGTCTGTGAGCAGCACTTTGCCCCAGCCCACACCAGTGAAAGGCCTGGAGGCAGCCTGGGTCAAAGAGGAACAAAAGCACTGGCCCACGTGAAGGTTATAACCCACTGAAAATGAAGGTTATAATCAGAACTAAAGCACAAAGGCACAGTTCCTACTCCTCTCTGCATGTACCAGAGTTGCAGGTGGGCAGAAAACAGCTGGCACAGGAATAAGTAGTAGGCCAAACTGAAGGTAAGCCCCTAAATGAGATTTCCTGCATGTTAAGCAACAGGGTCCTGGGGAGATCCTTCTACTTGGAAAGGTGTGGGAACATAACTTGCAGCTAATAAGCTGCTGAGTAAGCTGTGAAACAGAAATCCAGATGAGATAATTAGGAGTCACTTTAGAAGGTCAAGCTGTGGATCAACCATCAGCAAGGAGCAGGGTGTTCTATATATAAATCCAACATGCAGAAGTCACTTGCAATGCAGCAGCCAAGATTTGGGCTGGTTACAGAAGGCCCAGAACAGTTCCTGTGTGTGGCAGGCAGTGGGCAGGAGACCTGGGTGCTCCCTGTGCAGCACCTCAGCCACAGCCTGGAGAGCCTTGGGCAGAAGAGAGGCAGGGGAAGGAACGGGGCACTCAGGTGGGCAGGGACAGCAGGTCCCAGAGCAGCCTGGCATGGCCCAGGGCTCTGGCTGGCAGCCCTGGAAGGCAATGCTTATGCTCCTCTGGCTCGTGGCGACAAGCAGACCATGAATCCTGCACCTGACCCACCTTGAGGAGATCCCCCAGCAGAACCAGCACCTCCCTCCTGCAGCTGCTGTTGGTTCCCATGTAACAACCCCTAAAGCCCAGCACAGATCCATGTTGGACTCCTCTGGCTCAGAGCATCTCCCAAACCACACCATCCTGTGGCTACCTGCAGCACCCTGCCCCACCAAGGCAGCTCAGCCACACCCTTTCTGCCCCAAGCTCAAGGACACTTGTTTTGAAGCAACTTTTAAAGTCTAATCCTGAACATAGTAAAAACCAGTCTTTTAATAGCTTTACGAGCTCATAAAGACAAATATCTTCCCCCAAGAATAAACAGGCAGAACATTCCACTGCTACTCCGAAAACAAGGACTTGCTGTAGCTGAAGGGAGAGGGGAGACAAAGCCACTGTCCAGAGGGGAAAAAAAAACACAACACAACAAAAAATTCCATGCTCTTTACTAGTTAGGGGTGCAATTGGCTAGAACAGCTTGCAAGGGTGGGAGAGGAAAAAGCAGCACCTTTGACAGACATTTCATTAACATGACCCAGCACTTTGTGATTTAACAGTGGCTGTGACCACCTCTCCCCTAAAAATGGAACTTCTCACTGAAATCTGCTTCTGCTGTGCAAAACTGAGGCTTTAGGGGAAAGCTACTTTTGGTAAAAATCCCTGAACACTTGTCCTAATTAACTCTTCCTGCCTTAACACCACACAGCTCCCCAAGATGCCAGTCAGTCCTGGGAAGAGTGGCAAGAAATCTGGGATTAATAACTGTGTAAACTTCCTCCCAGGTCTGTAAGGATAATGAGATACCAGGCTGGAGCTAGAAACCACAAGGATTTATTTAGCTTCTCTCCTCAAAGAGTTCTAACAAATACTTTAATATTACTATAACCACCCCAAACTTTACACCTTGTACACTTGAGCAAAAATACAAGCTTTGCATTTCAGAGCAGCCTCCCCCTGGGGAAACAGACATGTTTTCCTTTTATCTTCAGTGTTGGATTACTGAAATTGCAGAAGAGATATTCTGGTTCTGAACAGGGAGTTGTGCTGCTCCTGGGAAGGTAATTCCAAGTTAATATTTGGAGTTTAGGCTCTCCCTGGGGCACAAGCACTCACTGGCACTGAGCAGACAAAGCCACCTGTAGAACCAAGTGCTGCAGCTCTGCTCTTATGGAGCAACATCTGCACAGCTGAGCTAGGAAAGGGCATCTCACAGCAACACCTGGGCCCCAAAAGGGCCACTCTGCTCCACAGAGCTCACCAAAGAGATCCCCTGGAGCTGCTGCTGCTGCTGAGAGCTTTTCAGATTTCAGGGATCACAGCTGGGCACGGTCTACAGGAGCATACTGAATTTGTAATTGCTGTTCAGCAGAGATGCTGAACACTGGCAGTACATCTCACCTGAAAGTGCCCGGCAGCTCCAGGGACAGAGCCAAACATTCCCAAAGGCCTGATGAGCTGAAGTGCTGCATTTCCAGTTGTTAGTAGACTAAGGACCAAAAATGCTCCTTGAAGTGTTTCAAGTTGTGCACTGGCAGCAGAATTGACTTGGCACTAATAGGTTACACAAGAAACAATCAAGACTTGCCACAAAAATCTGCCAGATGTGATCTTTGGAAGTGAGGGAATGTGAGGTAAGGTTAATGGCATTCCCAAGCACTGGAGCCTGATTCTGGCAGCACAGGAGGGCAATGCTGTGTGACAAGGACACTGGTGACCCTCCAAAGGTTCTGCTGTGCTCCCAGACCCCTGGGAAAGGCCAGGCACAGCCCTATGGCTATTTATTATCAGATCCTGCACAGCACTGAGGAATCTCCAACAGGTGCTCCCATCTCCACAGACCCAATTATCTTCCCTCGCTGAGCCCAAAATCCATCAGCAAATTCCAGCTGTGCCTCCCCTCCCACTTCCCAGCAGTGCTAATGCCCCAGCCAGACCCAGAATGCCCCAGATGAACGAGTTCCAAGTTTCACACAGGTTAATGTGTCACCAGCCTGAGCTCCTGGACACACTCAGGAACAATGATTCCAATCGGGACTGGAGGAGTGGGAGATACCTAAAGGTTACAGACTGAGATTTCGTGGCATGACAGCTGCACTTCCATCCAGTCCATGCTGCTGTTTGTTCAAAAGGCAACTCTCTCATAGAAAAAAATGTAATAAATAAAAAAAGTCACCTCAAGCTCTGTTGAAAGATAAAACCCATAAAGAACAGTATAACAAGTCAAGTTTTAATAGATTTATAAAATTCATATATACAAAACAGTAAACTAAGTCACCAAAGCTATAAAATACACTTTTTACACATCACAATATAATTTTATCTAGTACACAGTTTTCATAAGTTGAAACTATTACAGCAAGTAGCTGCTTCTATCACGGATGCTGTTTTGGTGCTAGAAAGACACTTATGTGAGCAGTCTGGGACTGTGCTTTTATTTTATGCATTTGCCACCTTCTTTTAGTTTGTCACTGTTTTTAAAGTACTTTCCTGTGAATTGTTAAGAAAATTAAGGCTAAACTCAGGCCTTTCTTGCCCAATGTAGTGAACTGGTTTAAAAAAAGACTGATATTGCATAGTATGTGTGTTAATGCATAGGCACCAGAGAGCAAGTACATTGCAGAATAAAAGATAACATCACTTGGCTTCCTAAGCTATGTGGTTGTGCCACAGATAACCTGGTGTTTTGTCAGTTTGTTTTGTACATTTTGATTCCACAAACAAGACAACTCCTCACTAGAGCGAGAAACACCAGCACTGTTGTTCAGTGGAGTCTCCAGAAACACCTTTTAATCTGTGTCATCAATTCAAGCCCATTCCACATTCCAGACAACACAACTGGAGGAACTCTCCCTATCCCACAGAGGGTTAATGGCTCCAGTGCAAACAGGACTCTGAACACATCTCTCCAAACCTAAGTCCACCAACACCTTCCCAAGTCTCATGAGCTCCCAGCAGATCCTTTCTCCCCCACAGCCCCTGCTCCCTGCCACCTCCTCTCAGCCTTTGTGCCAACCACCTGCACAAGAGATCGGTGGCAAGTGACAGCAGAGAAGTTGTGCTACTCAAAACCTGCCACTTCCCTCAAAAAGATGCTCTCTCAGGTCCTACTTATTAAAAAAACGTTGCTCGCCATCAGTTGTAGTTGTTACACAAAGAATGGAAACAGCCTCTTACCTTCTCGTGCTCTGGTATCTTGAAGAAAGTTTAAGCAGCTGTCAGGAAGGAGTAAGATGCACTGTCTGGCCAGAGATCTGCATACTGTATTTTATCAAAATTGAGTTTTAGCACCCAGTGATGAACAGATGAAGAGAGAGATTTACAATGGCAGGGCCAGCCTTGCCAGCCTGCTGCTCTTAATTCACAGCCAATGGCTCTCTGGAGTCACTCAAAGCTTTTGGGTCAGTGCAGATGGCATTTCACTTCAACACAGCCTTCAAGCACCATCAGCTTTTGGCATCTGTTTAGACACTAGCTCCCCTCTCCTGCTCCCCTCCAACATACTTTGGCTTTTTCTTTTTTTTTTTTTTTACCAAAATGCCCACCTTGGAAGTTAGTGCTGCTCTTTCTCCCCCTCTGACTATTTTCACACCAGACAGAAGATCCGACCTTCAGTCACAGGCCACGAGCTGGGCTGGACAGCCCCTCAAGCCAGGCACAGAACCACCAGCACTGACAATCTAGAACCTCCACACTCCCCACCCAGTAAGAACACAAGCATATCAACACACAGACAAACTTTAACACTGCTTTCCAAATGCCACTGTCAAGATAAAAATGTCAAGGATCGAGCTGAACTGCCCAACCACCAAGGTGAGCAAAGAGGCAGTTTCAGCTCCAAATCTCCTGGCTTTACTCATTTCCATCTATGCAAAAAAAGATTAGTGTTAAAACAAAGAAGTGCCCACGTCACAGCACAAAGCAGAGATCACCCCAGCTAATTACAAAACAGGTATTATTAAAAAGCACTAGGTCTTGCATTACCAATTATTCCTCACTAGGCTAGACAGTCCTCACCTAGAACTGTGTGGAGTCAGCACTAACTCAGGCCAAGGCTGGCCCAGACCACGCCAGTCTTCCTGATCCATAATGGATGCTCCCTAAAAAACTGTTAAAAGCTCATTTACAAAAGTAGGCACAGATGTTTTATAGTTGCTACTGAAACACCCCACCCACCACTTTGTGTTACAGAATTACAGAGTATGAGGTAAAGAGTTGGCAGTGCTATATTAAACCCCTGACTACACCACGTGATTTTATACTAGAAAGAGAACACAGAAAAGAGGGTACTGCTAAACTTACAGTTCTCATCATGAGCTCAGTGTTGGGTTTACATGACAAACTGCACTGTGTGGAGGTGTTGTTGCATACTGTGTTTGTCTCTCAAGCTGGCACACATCAAATCATCCATCAATGCAGCAGGTACTCCTGAAAATTTGATGACAGAAGCCAAACTAAAGACAGGTGTCAAAACTCACTGCCTGAAAATCAGAGGGGCCTTTTAGAGAAATCCCCTAGGTCCATGCACAAAAGGATTTTCACCCCTAGAAATAAAGAAGTATACACATAGAAAAGACTCCAAAATATAAGTTAATATAAGTTAAAACATAGTTAATACAAAGACAGCCATCTAAAGGCAGCAGAGGACCTGTTTTCTAAAATGCTGTTCTGTGGAAGGCAGCTGTCTGTCACTAAAGAAAGCTGCTGGTTTCCTCAGTGGTACCACATCTGTTCTTTTATCTGCTTTACTTCTACATTTCTCTGCAGATCACAGTAACCAGGATGGGTGAATTCCCAGAGGGAATGAGGCCATGGGAATGGGGGGCAACACATGGACAGGATGGGACACGCTCCAAATGCACCACTTTTCACACCAAATGCCACTTCAGCTGTCCTAGGGGAATTATATTTTTGTCTCCAGTGCCATGTACAAATGAGCTCTTCCTACTCCATTTCCTTATGGTTTATTTGCCATTACTTTCTCTACTCTGCCTGCTTGGCTGCAGCTCAGCTTTACCTGCCTCAGAAGGCCTGGGAATGGTCACCTTCAGGAGCCTCATTCTTGTAACATGCCTAGTTCTACATTTTACACAGCAGCAATTAAAAAAATTAAATATATTATCAAGTTAATAAGTCAAATAATCTAGGCTGCCATATTAAATAAGATCCATTCTCTGCATGTAACTGAAAGCATCTCTGAGCTGTAAAACTGAGTGGCCAGTAATTTCAACTCCATAACCATTAGTTATTTTTCAACCTTAAGAACTATTTCATTCCTTCAAAGTGACAAGTGCCTATTGAATATGTCACTTGCAGAAAACCACTTGTCCTTTTTAACTCCACCAAGTCACCTTGCAATGCATCTAAGGGCTGCTCAGAGCCTGCCAGCACTGCAATCTGCACGAGTGCTACTGACACACTCTGTTAGCTTAACACTTGTTTTGAGGACAACAAACACAAAATAGTGTTGGAAAAATGACTCCCATTTAGTTTTTCTACTTGAACTCCAGATTTACGTCTCTGCCCCAAGCACAGGCTGCAAGAGTTTCCTCTCTTTGTCCTCAGGAGAGACAATCCCCCTGCAACAATCTGTCACTGACCCCGGGTGTCAGAGGAGGGACAGCAAAAAGCTGCTTTTTTCTTTAAAAAAAAAGTACTTGTTCAAGGTCTCCATCTGATCATCATCCTGCCTGTGACCCATTTCCTGACCAGCCAAATGAACAATAAGCCTATAAAACTAACAAAAAAAGATGTTCTCTCCAGCTGTGTTTACCTGCAAAGTTCTCCAGGATGTCACTTAAAATAAAGTTTTCTATTTGTCTCTGGTGAAAGGACTAAGCAACCGACCAGGTCTGTCCCTAGAAGTGTGAACAACCTCATCTACCTAAGCTCTGCTTTAATAATTCACTGATTTACCACAACATGACTTTGTGGCTTTATTATACTACAACTTTCCTTGAAAAAAAACCCCAAGCCCCCTCAGCTGTAGCAAGACAAGTATTTTGCAGAGAAAGCTGACAATTAAAAAAGACCCCCACGTCCTTTTTTTCTCACAGGTCAGCTCCTCTGCAAACTTGGGAAGTGCTTGACTTTTGCAAGGAGAGTTTCCTGACCTGGGGTTCCTGGTGTGATCCATCACTATCCCAACCTGACAGAACTCTGAGCCCACAGAGCCAAAACATGGATTTTCACCTGCGGCCCCACACTCAGGCCCATTTCATCAATTCAAACAAGAAAGGCAATAATGGGCCCAAGGTGGGCAAATTGGTTCCCTAAAACTGACTTAGTGTGCAAAACTGCCATATCATACAAGAAAAAAAAAAAAAAGCAGCTTGAGAGCTCAGTGTGAGATCTCTCACGCTGTTTCTTTTCCAGGTGCAGATTTTAAGTTACTTAAAATATAAGTTGCATCATTAGCTCTGTTGAGGGTTAATCCATAAGGTGACTAAGGATACAAAACCATGGATGAGTGTCAAGAGAAAAACAGAACAGAAATTCCATGCTATGCCTCCCAGGTAAAACTACAGTAGATTCAGACACCAAACTGAGGTAATTCTTGAGAAAAAATACAGTTGAAAGGGAATGTTTAACTAATTTGAGAAAACAAGCATGATATTAACTCATCTGGAAAATTCAGTGAGAGAATAAAGCTCCACAGCAAACTAAGAACTAAAGTCAAGTCAACCTAGAAGTCAGGTGAGCCCACAACTGCCTCCTCTTTCCCAGTGTCTTGTGTGAAGTGAAAACCACTACCAAGAACTCAGAAAACATCTGAAAGCTTTGAAAGCAGCCTTAGTCTTCAGCCAAACAAATGGGCTCAGAGAAACCAGCCTTATGTGAAAAATAAACTTGTTTGCATCACGCTGTGGTGAAACATTTTCCTTCTCAAATGCAATAATCTTAAGATTTTTTCCCCCATCTGAATATTAGTCACATAACATCCTTCTCCTTCAAGGCTAAAAATTAATAAATATTTAAAAGACGGAGTTGGTCCTGGCAAAATAAGACTTGTTACAAGGAAGCTAATTCCTGTTTAAGTTTGCTGAAATTTAAGTTAGGTTTTCCCATCTGCAACTTCTCAGTTGCTTCTTACGTCGATTCTGTGCCTGAAACAGCCACAGCTTTTCCACTCTGGAGCCTGCACAAGGAAAGCCAGGAGGCTGCTACATCAGGAAACTACACAAAAATACTGATATGAACATCTGCAAGCTTCAGAGGGGAAGAAAATATTCCAGATTTTATCCAAATTAACATGAAAGGACAACGGAACAGGACTTTTCTTTGACCACATTTCCCATGGGATTACCAGCTGAAGTAAAACTTTCCTTGTTTTGACATGCCATTACAGGCTCAAAGGGGATAAGAACTCCAGGGAATCTGCTGACTTTTTATGGGTACAAACAGCCCTTCAGGTTTTATCCTTGGATAAAAACTATGACAAAAATTGCAGAGTAAACTATGGTTGAGTTACCTAAAGGATAGCACTACAATATCTTCGGTTTGTCCATGCACCCCACTGCAGTAGAAAAGATTCAATGTCTGTACACAGAAAAGGCACCTGGCAGAGATTGAGAGCACAAGGAAATTTGGAGTTCACACCCCAGTTATTCAAGCCTCTTGCCATTTTACACCCAAACCACTGCCCAAAAGGGGCAAATCCAAACCCAGCTGTGCTCTGAGTTCCATGTGCATCACTACAGGCTGAAGATCCCATTAAGACACAGATTAAAGGCTAATTTTACAGTAAGGTCTTGCTGTCCAAATCCATCAGTGCAGCTGGAAAGCTGGGATCTCCAGGGTGTTCAGGCTTCCTACAAGGTCAGCTGTTGGGAACTAATCAAGCAGCTGCTGTGCTACCAAAACCTTTGCTTAAAGAGTTTAATCAGCTTCCAAACTTTTGAGTTCAGATGAAGCCCTGTCACGTGAGATACTGAACCTTCACAAATGCTGCCCACCGTGGGTGTGAGGACAGTGCTAGCTGGCCATGGAGCACATCTCCCTTGAGCAACCACTGTGCAGATTCATGGCTGGGTGCTCCAGCACAGGCTGCTGCACCAAGGAAATCACTTTTCCCATGACGTAACACCCTCCAAGCATAGTGCAAAATAAACCCTTCTCCAAATCAGCGAGGCCTCAAGTCCCCATCCCATTTACTCCAACATGAGTTTCCTTACACAGTTTTAGGCTTCTCCCTCAGGAGACTCATGCAAAACCTTCAGACAACAGCTGTGCGTCCACCTTGGGAGGTGGATTCTAGACCCCTGGCAAAGCTGAACACACACACAAGACCTGGTTATACTCCTAAGGGTTAAGAATGGAACTTCCATTAACATTCTCCAATACAGCTGCCAATCTCATCATGTTTAGATTAGTTTGATCGATTCAGCACCTCCAAACTACAAAAAAAAAGGCAGTTTGTACAATTAGTGTCTCTGAAAAATGAGCGTGTTCATTTGAAACGTGTCTTCCATCCATGGTTTGTCAGAGATTTCTGTTCTGAAGAAGGCAGACGGTGGTTGTGTCATTCAGCGTTCCAAACTCGGTACAGAACCTACCATGGCCAGGTTTCAGTAGTGTTTTAGTCCAAATGATTCAGTAGCTAACATCAACACGACTCCTCCGGCCTAGAGCTCCTCTGTTTGGACTGGCTAGTGTACAGCATTCCTGAGCCAAGGAATTCGCACGGGTCCCACGCCGCATGCAAGGGCCATAAAGAAAGGATAAAAACGTCGATGGAACCCTCCAGCGAAATTTCAACGGAGCAGGGGCTGCTCTCCTTCACTGCAGCATGATGTCCTTGAGGTTCTCCTGCAGGATGGTGTCCTTGACGGCGTGGAACACGAAGCGGATGTTCTCCGTGTCGATGGCCGTGGTGAAGTGGTGGAAGAGGGGCTTGCTGCGGTTCCGCCTCTTCCTGTCGAAGCACTGCACCAGGTAACGCTGCACGTCCTCCAGACGGTGAGGGTCGCCCTTGAAGTCCGAGAAATACTTCTTAATGCTGACATTCTTGACCTTCTCCACGAGAAGGTCCATCTTGTTGAGGAATAGGATAATGGAAACGTTAAAGAAAAGCTTGTTATTGACTATTGTCTCAAAGATATTCATGGACTCCACGAGTCTGTTTGTGCGCCTGTCTTCCATGAGGACCTGGTCGTATTCACTGGAGGAGACCATGAACAAAATTGAAGTTATTCCATCAAAGCACTGGAACCATTTTTGACGCTGAGATCTCTGTCCCCCTACATCCACCATCTTGAAAGGAATTTTTTTAATGATGAAATCATGTTCTACTATGCCCTTCGTGGCTTTTCTGGCCAGCAAAATATCTTGTTTGCTGGGGAAATAGTTCTGCAAAAGAAAGGAGAGAAGTGTCAAAAAAAGTCCTTCAAAAATTCTGGCTAATGCCTGAATACTGAAGGAATGGGTAAAATCACCAAGAGCTGCTTTTAAATTTAAATATTATCAGATGAAGAATGAATACTCAACTTTAAAACACCGGCCTGTTGACCATTTAGCTCAACACTTTGGTAAACAGCTACACAAGATCTTGAGGCGTATGAGAACAAAAATAAATGACTAATAATTCACTTCTTCACACTTTCATCCATCAAGCCTCTTTGTTTAAGGCTGAAGTGTATTTTTTCTTAATGAAATTCTTAGCTACAGCATTACTGCCACTTAGGTAGCATTCAATAAAGGAGGTCAAATCACCACTAAAAGGTGCTTTTTTTTTCTAAATCTAGCTTTTCCACAGGTCATTACTCTTACAAGAACCATCTTGAAAGCTTCAGTGGAAACTCTTTTTCCAGGTTCACACCCTATGACCAGCCAGTATAGTAACAGATTCTACCACAGGCTGTGGCCCAGTCTACTGCTGTAGAGAAATCTGTCCTTCAGAACCTTATCATTATTACTGTTTAGGAAAATCATCTCCCTTCTTTCTCCTCCAAGTGTCCTGACAGATGTTTTCATTACAGATTTTGAATCCTGCAAGGGCTAGGAATGGTTTTTATTTTGCTAAGGTTTCATTCTGCTACCTTAAGTAGCAGCAGCCATCAGAACATCAGGAAAAGCGATCCAGAGACTGCATAGAAGGGCTGATAAAATATGTGCACAAATACAACTTCCATTTGTTATCTGTCAAAAAAGATAAAACAAATGCTAAGCTTCAGTTTCAGAAAGCTGGAGTTTACTGTTTCTACAGAAAGAACACTGAATTTAATGCGTTATTATTTCATAAACGAACCAAAAACCCCAAGCAAAGCCCATTAATCACAGCGCACTCAGGCTCTCCTTGTCTCCTGGAGCTCTGTGGTTCAGAAGGAGAAGGGTTCTTACCAGCTGACCGATCCGATCCAGGTTATCCAGGAAGTATTTCACTGATTCACCCTGTGGAAAAGGAAAGACATGGGATCTGAGCTTGTTTCTAGCACAGCAAATCCAACAGAACCGAGGCCTCCTTCCCAACGTGCACTGAGGTCTAACAGAGCATTATCACCAGGTCTGGAAAAGTCAAAGCTGTGAAGAGATTTGCACAAATGCTCAGATCTATCCAGGAAATCTCTACAATAAAAGAGTAGTGTCATTAAAGTCAGTTCTTTGACTTAAAAGAATTTGGCTTTTTTTCCCCTTGTAAGATAAACACAGTTAACTGACACTGAGTGGGAGTAAAAAATGAAACACATTTATAAGAAACCAGTGTATTTTTAAAAAAATTCATAACAGTGAACAAAAGCATATCCTAGAAAAGTGGAAGATTTAAGTCCCCCCACAATTTATGATGATTTAAGCTAGACTTGCTTGTCACAAAGGGAAAAAGGAGCATTTTCAAGGACTTGCTCTTCTACAGACAGCTCCCCTTCTGGGCTCAAGACTTTTAATAATAGATTTGCTCATCTTTTAAGAAGTCCTTTAGCAATTATATCGAGAAGAAAATAGGAATGTTTACAAGGAAAATTCATTCTTGTGTGAAAATTTACTCTTGTGGAAGAGGATTTGGTCTTTTATCAAACAAGCTTGCCTGTGTGTCCCGCCCAAATCAAGGGCCCCTTTGCATTAAGGGGGGACAAGAAGCCCTGCACAGACTTTTAAAGAAGTAACAATATTGTTTCCATACAGATGCAGACTACTCTGGAGTGAAACTCTCCAGCAAAAGCTTCCCTTCTTGAAGAAGTAATTCAGTATGTGTTTCTTTATTCTTGGAGTTGTAGCCATGTAATGAGAACAATAAAATGGAAAATCCCGCTGCCTTTTAGTGATTTTAGGCAAGAAAACCCATTTCTTATCACAGAGCAGGGCTGTCAGTCACGACCAAATGACAGTAGATGCCCTCACCAAGCCACTAATTCAGAATGGAACTTCCTCCAAGTACTCCAGCTGCAATATAAACTCTTAAACCACACATCCTCCTCTACAGCACAGGCCTGAGACAGCAGAACAGAATTACTGCCCCCAGTACAACTCTAAACAGATGAACACAACAGTTCATTGTGAGGAATCAGACTGGAGGTCAGAGGATTCAGTGTTGGACAAGTACAGGCTCCCAGCATAAAGCACACACAAAAGGAGCTGGAGTTTATTATTTCCTAACATTTAAAACTGGAAGTGTCTTTTAATAAAGGAGAGAGAACACACGGATTTGCAAAAGACTACCATGTATCAACAAAAGATTTACAATGGATTGCTGGCAGAAAAAAAACACTTCTTTTTTTTGGGGGGGTGGGGGAGAGGGGAAGTTTCCAAAGAACAATTGCTCTAAGAGCTTCCTTACAATCATGAATTTTCATAAGGTGAAAGTAATTTCCTGTATTTTTTGGCACTCTGTGGATCAGAAGAGATATCACAGACTGCATGAATAAGAGAAAAGGGCTTCCTGTACAGCATTAGTCATATTCAGGAGATGGGAGAGCCCAGAAAGAAAAGATCACTGAAGCTACCAAAAACCCCTTCTCTATCTGTTGTGCTCCATCCCACACAGCTCTTCAGATGTGCAAAAAATACTGCAAAGGGGCCATTTCTGATGGAGATTCTTCCAATTTTCTACCCAGTTGCTTCAAGAGTCCCTGCCTGTCTGTTCCCCTCCCTGGATGGAGCAGGGAACAGCCATGTGCCTGTGAAATGCAGGGACACACAGGCAGGATCACCTGATTTACAGCTTCTGCATCCCCTAATTCCCACCCCACACACCTATCACTGACATTCTGCACATTGATAGGGAGGTAAGAAAATCAACTGATTAATGGAAAAAAATTCACGTTCATTTCTGCGGTGATTTAAGGAAAACAGACTTCTCTAGATTCTCTTATTAATGTTGCAATTAAGCCACGTAATTTGTTCAGGGAAATTATAATCAGCAATGGCAAAGCACTGGGAGAGCTGGGTAAGCAAGTCAGGTGGCTGGAACAGGTGTGAGCACCAACCACATGCATGGTCTGACAGATCTGAAGGAATCTCAATATTCTCTTCTAGCACAGAATCCAAAGGCAGCCAGTACTTAAGTCAAAATATCTGTTTCCAGCCAAAACAACAAATCCTCAACAAGCTCCAGAGGGTTTGAAGTTAAAAAACCCTCAAAACATTAAAGCATACAAACATGAAGGGAGGAAAAACACCCACCAAAAACGTGCCAGAGTAATAAGCCCAAACCCAGCGCACACACTCAAAATCTCCTGCTTTAATGATTCCCTGATTAATGATTCTTCATTAAGTCCTAGGGAAGTGTGAACTCAGTTCCTGCTCCAAAGGTTTCTGGAATAACCTTGTTCTACATCTTAGTCAGATTTACAGCAAACTGGGATGTTCTGGGAAGCACATTCAGTTCCTCCAGGCAGCAGCACTCACATGCACTGGGCATTAACTGACTTGATGAGTAACACGTAACGTATTAAATGAGGAAAATATGGAAACTCCAGGTTTCACAACTGTTTGCTGTTAGTGTTTTTAATTAGAACAATTATGCTGACTGAACATTCCTTTCTATATTCATTTTTCCTAGTCATTCAGACAGCAATATTAATTATATCTTGAAGTCAAATTCATTGAGTTTTATATCAAGCTGCACTTCAATGGATTTTTGAATTCCACTAATGAATTATTATTTATGCAAAGCTGTCTCATGCTTTGGGTATTATACACTCATACAAACAAATGCTTATGTATATAAATGTATGTATATAAAAATACACACACAGTTTCCAAATCAAAGTAGATTTTTCATTCAAAGCAAGTAATTATCAAAACAAATATCAGCTGCCCCCCTTTTGTGTTGAATTATTTTTTCTCTTCATGACACTGGTCATAAAGAAGCTGGTTTGGCTTTTTCAGTGCAAATATTTAGTGTTTCTCCAGTATTCATCTGGCCATTCAGCTCCATTCAAAGCTGGCTTAGCAGTTCAAGTGCTCTCCTCCTCCAGATCTTAGCCAGTTATTTCAGGTCCATGACCATGACTTCCTATAAAAGTGTCAGCAAATATTTGCAATTGATTCATCAGATACTAAAAATATCTTTTATGCAGATTGATGACTTCAATTTCAGTATTTTAATGGCTCTATTGGGGAAAAAAGCTTATTTTAACATCACAATCTATTTCAAGCTATGCTTGCAAAGTAGAAATGAAAGCTGAAGTTATTTATAATATATGTATATTTATACTCCCTATGTGTATTTATACTACGTGTAACTACCTAAATATAATCACATCGTGGTGTGTTCACTTAGAAAATAAACAAAAAAGATCCAGATCAGATCTTTTACAGGCTGATGTTGCAAGAAAAACTGTGGCAGCTCCAGAAACTTCCTCAGATCAATGGTGTTCATAGAAGGTTGTTGAGCTTCTGCCTTTCAGATTTAAAGACTCATGTCTTGCATTACCCTAATAGTACACAATTTCCTTTAAAGTATTCTAACAATATTCATAAATAATGCTCTCAAGATATGAAAGACTTTAATTTCAACCAGCACAATAGTGAGATAGGAAGCCCCCTTCTGTCACAGTCCCAGCAGAGTCTGTCAGTGAAACATTTATGCACTGACATTTATTTATTTAATTTTTAACTGGTGCTCGATTAGCACATCTCACATTGGAAAGTTACAAACCAGTTCACTATTTTTATGGATTTTCATCCTCCTTGCTAATAAATCAAGATGTTTCAGTGGCGTCTCCTGCACCCACACCCCGTGTTTTACGGGACAGCTGTGGGGGAGGGAACAGTGACCTCTGAGTTATGAATTTTATGTAGCTCAGATGATCCTTTTTTAGTACCCCAGAGTACAGCAGTGACCATTGGTGTTCCACTCCTTGCTCCCCACACAAGAGTGACCACAAAGCTGGGGTGACTCATTCTGTCACTGCTGAGCTCCCCTCCCTCTGCAGTCCAGACCCTCTGAGTAACAGTTCTGTGACTGGGACCGAGAGAAGGACTTTGAGATGCTGTTCCCATTGTTCAGGAGGATGAGTCACTGCACATCTGGGAACTGGGGGAATCAAGAAACACAAACAGAAGGCCTCAAATGAGCCCACAATGCAGTATCGCTATTGGATTATTTAAAAAAAAAAAATTGTTATTCTTTTAAACTGGCCTATCTGCAGTATAAAGTTTGGTGAAGCCAGAGAAAATAGTGCAATTTGTTTAAAAAGTGACTGGTGGAAGAGAAAGGGAGGAAAGTTGAAATGTAAACATATACTCCTGCTTCCTGAAATAGTCCTCTAAAACTCTTTTTATATGCTAGATTATTTTGACCACAGCATTCTCAAGGGGCGAAAGCCATGAAATAAAAAAATTCTAATCTACATACTTTGTGCAATGTGAATGCCATGCTAACATGATCTCCAAGTAAGTCACCATGAAAATAATGATTGAACTCAACATCCCTGCCCCTTCAGGCTATGTTCAGAGCACATAGGAAATCTCCACACAGAAATATTATAACTAATCTGGCATCACTTCCTTTGCCATTGATAGCCTCATTTTGGGCAGAGTTCCCAAAGAGTATTTACTGCATGAAAATAATGCACAACAATCATATGCAGATTACTTTAAAATACCCCCAGAAACATAGCAGACATGTTCTGGAAAGCCAGAATTTATCAACCTGTCACTGTAACCCTCAGTTATTCAGAGTGAGCCTTGGTCAGATCATAAAGGACAGTGACACATCCCATTGTCCAGCTCCCTAAAATACTGGCTCATTTCAAACTTTTCCTGCTGAAAAGCAGTTCCTCTAAATTCTGCTCAGAACTAGAAGACTTGAAAGGGGACTCTGTTCCAAATTGGCTTTTTTCCTTTCCTTGTCCCAAGGCCTTTTTGACATAATATTAATTTAGTCCTTCCTGATCATTCTGTCTCTGGCTGCTAAATTTAGAGTGCACAGTTTAAGGTAGACCTGTCAG